CTATGTCATGGCTAAAGTTAAATACGGAGTCACGATGTAGGTATGCCTTCGTTATCAAGCACAGATCATTCGGCTCTATGTCATGGCTGAAGTTTAATACGGAGTCACGATGTAGATATGCCTTCGTTATCAGCACAGATCATTCGGCCCTATGTCATGGATGAAGTTTAATACGGAGTCACGATGCAGGTATGCCTTCGTTGTCGGCACAGATCACTCGGCCCTATGTCATGGCTGAAGTTAAATACGGAGTCACAATGCAGGTATGCCTTCGTTATCAGCACAGATCACTCGACCCTATGTCATGGCTGAAGTTTAATACGGAGTCACGATGCAGGTATGCCTTCGTTATCAGCACAGATCACTCGGCCCTATGTCATGGCTGAAGTTAAATACGGAGTCACGATGCAGGTATGCCTTCGTTATCAGCACAGATCACTCGTCCCTATGTCATGGCTGAAGTTTAATACGGAGTCACGATGCAGGTATGCCTTCGTTGTCAGCACAGATCACTCGGCCCTATGTCATGGCTGAAGTTTAATACGGAGTCACGATGGAGGTATGCCTTCGTTATCAGCACAGATCACTCGACCCTATGTCATGGCTGAAGTTTAATACGGAATCACGATGCAGGTATGCCTTCGTTGTCAGCACAGATCACTCGGCCCTATGTCATGGCTGAACTTTAATACGGAGTCACGATGCAGGTATGCCTTCGTTATCAGCACAGATCACTCGACCCTATGTCATGGCTGAAGTTTAATACGGAGTCACGATGCAGGTATGCCTTCGTTGTCAACACAGATCACTCGGCCCTATGTCATGGCTGAAGTTTAATACGGAGTCACGATGCAGGTATGCCTTCGTTATCAGCACAGATCACTCGACCCTATGTCATGGCTGAAGTTTAATACGGAGTCACGATGCAGGTATGCCTTCGTTATCAGCACAGATCACTCGGCCCTATGTCATGGCTGAAGTTTAATACGGAGTCACGATGTAGGTATGCCCTCATCATCAGCACAGATCACTCGGCCCTATGTCATGGCTGAAGTTGAATACGGAGTCACGATGTAGGTATGCCTTCGTTATCAGCACAGATCACTCGGCCCTATGTCATTGCTGAAGTTGAATACGGAGTCACGATGTAGGTATGCCTTCGTTATCAAGCACAGATCACTCGGCCCTATGTCATGGATGAAGTTTAATACGGAGTCACGATGTAGGTATGCCTTCGTTATCAGCACTAAAACCTCGGCTCTATGCCATGGCTAACTTTAATACGTACCCACGCGTCAAGCATGCCCTGTAGGAATTCCTACCCTTGGCTCTGGCTTGTGTCCCTCGTAACTCTACACTTAATCCTCTGCTATAACTGGATTATCTCGCGTGGACGGCTTCCTGCCTTGTTTTGTTGTTCATGACTCACCTTGGGGCCGTGTGCCGTGTTACAGGAATGTCCATCACGAATCAGAGCAGACAGGAGAGAGTTAAACCACATGTGTCCCATAGTGTGTGGAGTGTGTTTCAATTACACGAACCATATCTAAACTTGCGATTCACTGTGACCTGATTTGTTGTTAACAACGCATTTGACAGTTTTATCGATGTTTATGCAATTGATGTTTCGGAAAAAGTAATATATTACGACGTCCGTGAACTATTGCAGTTATTTAGTCTTTATTCGTTGAATAAAAATGTTTCAAGTGAGATACGAGAACATATGAAAATAGACACGTACTCATTACTTCGTGTTCGAAAAAAAGCTGTTTGAGAAAGTTATGCACCTTATATTTGTCACAACAAAGATTGCATGAAAAATGAGTTTTTGACCAATAAAACTCCGGCAGTGTTGTAATTTCTCTGAAAACATATTGCCATAAGTACTAGTATATAGATTTGACGTCACTAACATTCATGGACCAAAGAATGTTGGAGAGAAAAAGGGAGTAAATATTGTTAACGTGACAGTCAGAAATATTCCAATGTCACAGGAACTTGTAAATAATCGAGTCTGGACCAGGCACAACAGTGACTGAAAACATGAACAATGACCTACGTTATTGGGACACGATGTCAAAGCCAAGTCACAGAACCCTATTCATTTTATGTCGACTCATACGACAAGCATAGAAAACTTGGCTTCAAATCTACCCCGGACACCCCCTGTTGCGAAAAAGTATGGGAAGATAATATTAATGTATCGCATTCCTAATATGAAGGTATCACTCTCTAAATATTTTTCCCTTTTTGTTTTGTCAAAGGAATGACAATTACAGTCGTTACCCTGCATGACATCCACTGACCCATAGGCAGCGATGGGGAGTTTTCAAATTTCAAGATGGCTACTGATTGACATACGATCATCTCAATGTCGTCTGTTACTCCGCCTCCCACAACGCGTTGAGAATAACATCAGACATTTAGACCAGTTTACAAGACAGCTCGTCGGATTAGATAACAATGTATTGTTATATCTACCAGATACAATCCTCAGTTGCCCAATGCAACAACGACGCAAGAAGATATCTATTTGTGAAATCGCCCGCGGCCGTTGTTAAGATCTCGTGATATATCGTTGTTGCGAGATTGACATGCGCTGACAGTATAACACACGTAACATGTCCAATTACGTCGGGGATATTCACAGCATTTCTCTTGTAATATGTCAGCGAATATGTTAAGAATATACTATGTATGTGAACGTTTTTTAATAGTCTCTGAGGGCTAGGTGTTGTCAAAATAGAAGGCGTAAATTGACAAATCGCAACAGGGTGTCGTTCCGAGTTCTGGTGTACGTTGTTTGTGGTAACCAGAATAGATAGAGTCTTTATTCACGTTGATGAATCCCTTCAACGCCATGTGAACTGTAATCGGAACTCTTAAATACATTTTAACCATCCTTGCTTTGATGTTCCTGCGCCATGCAACTATCACAGCGGAAGCTTGGTGCTCAATCACATGATCTAACATTTATGTTAACAGAGTATACCTGAAGACATGAACTTTTTATGGATGACAATTTCTTCATCTGATGGAGAGGCAAGAAGTAGCCCTGAAACGTTGAACACCTGGTGTCATCATTGAGTTTCAGTAGTCCAATCATATAATTTTCAATATCAAGACATGGTTTGATATGGTAGGAAATCTAGTTAGTCGTAAGCCTTACCATTTTGTAAAAGACATTAAACTGAATGTGGGAGCTGATAACACGAGCACACACATGTAGGGTAATGATTGGTATGTGAGCGGGTTATAGCTAAAACGGCACCTCAGCAAAACGTCACCTGGCGAAAACGGCACCGATTGGCGAAAACGTCACCTCGCCTAGGCGAAAACGGCTACTAATGCCTGGCGAAAACGGCACCTTATGTTTTTTTAACCTTGATAAAATAAATGATATAAAACTAACATGGTCGCTTGCAAACACCAATAATTGTGAAATGTTACAACTAGTTTACATTAGAATTTAGCCTCTACTCCAACTATTTTCCAACTTAGCCAATACGCAACTCAACTTATTGTGAAAACATAACATGCCTTGAAGTAAAATAATGAAATAAAACTCACATCGCCTCTTACAAACACTAGTAATAGTGAAATGTTTAAACAAGTTTACAGTAGAAATTAGCCCCCTACTGTCCAGGACATATTTTTTGAGGCCAAGAGAATACCCTCCTGGTAAATAGAGGTGCCGTTTTCGCCTGTCACATAGTAGCCGTTTTCGCCAAATGCGGTGCCGTTTTCGCCAGAGAAATCGGTGACGTTTCGCTGAGGTGCCGTTTTAGCCTGCACCCACTACAGATCAAACGAAGGTGTCCACTTAAAACTGGATTTGACCCAAAAAATATAAAACGTTACAAGGCTGAAAACAGTCGCCGAAACACTGCAACTTGAGGCCCAAAACACACATTGAACTATGATGCTCGTGGCTAATACAACTATTTCTTGTTTGTGGCATTTGTAACCATCATCAAACATGGGTGTACACTTTCTTTTGCCCGGCAGTTTATTTGGTTTAAACATGTACATATTTTTATTTCAAAAGAAATCTGGATCGGTAAACAAGCAAAACTTGCTTTTGTAAATACCTCTCCAGGTAATAACTTTACAACAGCTGGTTATATATCAGATTATATGTAAATAGTGCTAAACATAAACATATTAAATGCACAAATGAAATATATGACGCCAATACAAGTGGTGTCTGTGAAATATGATATAGCAGTTTTCCATTACTACATGCATAAAATTAAGCTACTCGAATCTTTTGCTTTTGACAATGAAATCGTGAACTGATTGAAGAATAGTCATGTTTGTAGAACTGCTAACTGAACTATTGCCATGTAAGACCGTTGGCAGTGTATTTGATGTGACGGAACATTATAGCTAGTCTTAAAGAAACACCCCGATACGATGGGGTAGCCTAGTGGTTAACGTGTTCGCTCGTCACGCCGAAAACCGGGTTCGATTCTCACAAGGGTACAATATGTGAAGCATATTTCTGGTGTGATATTGCTGAAATATTGCTAAAAGCGACATAAAACAATACGCACTCCTAATGAAGACAATTTAGTGATATTTAACAGGAGTTTTAACGGAGTTACTTCACAAAACCAATCTCCACTCTCCCCGCATTGTCCTCGTACAATGCCCATTAACAACAGACATGCCAGCTTCTTACAATCTACGCGAGGTTAACACAACATATGTTTGTCGTTCCTGGTACTGCCATTCTCGAAACCCTTTCGACGATTGATCGATAAAGACTTAACACCGTTGAATTATGTAACTTGTTTGTTGACAACACTACCTGCGCGTGGGGGGTAATAACAGTACTCTTACTTATCTAAATAATGCTTAATGTACTGTGAATGTCAATTCCTTGTGATGTTTAAGGATAAAGACGGATTAGGATTAAATGATTGGTTTGTGGATTTGATCATGGTCCGACAAATGTTGTTTACATCTGTTGTTTGTTACCTGTTGATTGTACACAGGTGAATGCAGTTTTGACAGCAGACGCTGTTTATTTCATACCAACTGGACATTCACAGCAGATGTGACAGAGGTAAATGATTTTCTCTCTATATCAATGGTTAAGTGTATACCATGTGGTGATACGTTGTCCTGTGCACAGCGCACAGATCACTGATCAGGTGAACTTGGGCAATGTCGCTTGCGGAGAGTAGCTGGATGGGTGACAGCGTTCGGCAGCTTGAATCCTGAGCGTTTCTAGAGCTTCGGCCCTGCCCCACACTGAAGTACATGTTACATGTGGTGTCTCCCTGTGTGGGTGATTTTGTTCGAAATATGCCTCTGTGTTCACAAGCAGTAAAATGGGTACCCGGTAGAATGAAATTGTAATGTGAACCTTCTAGCGCCTGAAAATCGATGAAAATCGAGTGCAAACTGATCCATTGACCGACTGACCGGGGTTATAATGTTAGCGCTTTATGCCGGCACCTTGTGGATGGAGGATAGCGCAATATTATTATTGTATGCATATTTATATTATTATACAGATTAAGATAAATAAATACAGCAAAGAGGGTTTAAGTGATCCTGGCACGTCAGGTTTGTTAGGCTCATCATAAGCTCAGGGCCCTTGCACGCAGCCCAAATAGCGTATAAGTAAATCTTCTTTGAATATGCTATGAATTTCTTTTTTCCTTGGGGCGGGGGTACCTTTGGTTGAAGCTTTAGATCAGCACGGCGATGGCCCGGTTTGATTTCAAGATGGGTACAATGTGTGGAGCCCAATTTGTGTATCCCCCATCGTGATATGGCTGGAATATTGCTAGACTCGGGTTGAAATCAATTTCACTAAGTCACCCTTTTCTGTGGTACGTTGTTTAGTTATGAAATATGTTATCGCGATCCCTTGCTGAGACAAATGTGTGCTTTGACAGCGTGTAACAAATGACATATATTAATGTGTAAATATGGTCTATGTTCAAGCGACGCATATAAATAACGTCGGGCATTGGCCGTGTTCATCCAAACAGAGCGGTAACGACAATTTCCAAACCTACTCTCACAAATCTTCATTGACAGCAGGTGTTCGCTAACCGAGTGAACACATCCGGCCGTACAAGCAGCATCCGTCGCGCGTGAAGGTCGAGGTCACGAGATACGTGACTCCAGCAGCATCTCCGTCCAACAGTTCTCACTCCATTAGTCTCTCTAGGATGCCATTCCCACATTACTGCAGAAGATAATTTTACACATTTTCACAATAATTAGCCAAACATTCTAAAACAATAGTCGTTTGTACGATGATGTCGATTTCAGCTGAACGTTTATGCAGATATGTCTCTGTAAGAAAGTAAACAATGATATCGACATGTGTCTGTGAGAATGTAAACAATGATATCGACATGTCTCTGTAAGAATGTAAAAAATGATATCGACATGTTTCTGTAAGAATGTAAACAATGATATCGACATGTCTCTGTAAGAATGTAAACAATGATATCGACATGTCCCTGTAAGAATATAAACAATGGTGTCGACATGTGTCTGTGAGAATGTAAACAATTATATCGACATGTCTCTGTAAGAATGTAAACAATGATATCGACATGTGTCTGTAAGAATGTAAACAATGATATTGACATTCTCTGTGAGAATGCAAACAATGATATCGACATGTCTCTGTGAGAATGCAAACAATGATATCGACATGTCTCTGTGAGAATGAAGACAGTGATATCGATATGTCTATGAAAGAATGTAAACAATGATATTGACATTCTCTGTGAGAATGCAAACAATGATATCGACATGCCTCTATGAGAATTTAAACAATGATATCAACATGTCTCTGTGATAATGAAGACAGTGATATCGATATGTCTATGAAAGAATGTAAACAATGATATCGACATGTCTCTGTGAAAATGTAATCAATATCGACAATTCGCTGTAAGAATGTAAACAATTATATTGACATGCATAATTAATATTTATGTAAACAATGTTACATATGTAAGCAATGGTATGCACATGCCTCTGTAAAAATGTAAACAACGGTATATACATATTTTGTCAACGGTAGACGATTGGAGAGTATTTTCAGACTATACTGTCACAATTTCCCAATACTATCTAAAGTATGTTAATGTTTGAGACGTCTTTACGACGACATCGATTTCAGATAGACTATAGAAACAGACGTGTCTCTGTCAGAAAGTCAGCAATGGTAAGGACATGCCACTGTAAGAATGTAAGCAAATCTTGTTTAGAAGGTAGACGATAATTATACTTTCTGCGTATTCACAAACATCAGCGACACGTAGATCCACGCATCTCATCATGGCGTGTGTGGAATACATTAGTAAATCTGGTTTAATCCCACTCGTCAAAAACGAGTCACTTTGACCGATTTCTAGGCCCGTGGGCTGCCCCCACCGTAAATCTTTAATCCTCCTTTGATGCTTGTTGATATATAAGATAAACCGACCAATTGCATACTTTTTTTTCTAGTAGGAGAGACGTATTTACCAGGAGTTGTCACATCAATGTATCACAATGTCATGGTATAATCCCGGTGCCATACGTTGTCAGATCACTGTATCACAATGTCATGGTTGTCAGACCTCGAACGTAAAAACGTAAGTAACGGAAACAGACAGGAGGAGCATGATGGGAAGACTGGTGTAGAGATCATTGTCACACTTAACTTAACAAATTTCCCTCGATATTCTCACTTTCCGCCACATCAGCTTAAAAAGCAGTGTTGATTTCAAGAAAAAAAGATTAAATTTAGTCATACCGTTTAGTTTTGAAAAGATAAGTAAATGGCTATGTTATACTAGTATACCATTCGCGGATTAAGATATACTTATTGCATGATGAAGCATGGACATGATTATGATAAAAGGACAATATCCTTTTGTGTTATTGTTCCTCTTCAGTCGTATTTGAAGATTTCTAGAAAAAACTTAATTTTCTTATGATTATGATTACTTTCGGCGCTGAATGTCCAGAAGCGCTTGGAATTTTATTTGCGGAGTCTGTATGATAATTGTGTCATCTCTCAGTACTAGCGCATACCAATTGTGATTACATTACCGATGACACCTGATCGTAGGGACCACGTGACTATGTCCATCTCCACCTTCAGCCCCTGTGTTATGTAAAAACACAGTGTTCTACGACGATTATTGTGAGTAAGTGAGTGAGTTGGGATTCATGCCGCGTTGTGCAGCGTTTCACGGTGTGTCAGGTTAATGAGGAAGGGAAACCCGAAATGATGCAGGTCATAGACGTTTACAATTTTCAAAAGAACCCCACCGGCATAAATATGGTACTGATTCGTAATCAAGGCGAATCAGGGATTCATAAGATCCTGGGAAGCTTAAGGGAAGCAACTCTGCACAGCGAATTACACAGTGTCTTACACGACTGAGCCCTCCGTAGTGCCGACAGTCCAAAGGACGATTTGTGTGATATGAGAACAACATTACCCTACAGCTGATTCACATCTCTAGAACCTGCCCATCTATATGCGGATTCAATGACACTGACATACAGATCTGTATGTCCAACAAAGATTTATGAGACCACAAATGTCACCATGAATCTGTGATATTACATGCTTCCCCAACCCTAGCGAAACTGTCGTCCATGTCGTGAGACTGTTTTTGTGAGAGGGGCACGGAGTAGCATGCCAACTGCCCGTTTCATGGTCTGCTGCGTTTTCCTGTTCCGCCCACCATTATACATAACACGCGAACAATTAGGTACAGTAAACTACGGATATATCGAACTCAAAGGGACCACTAATTTTAGTTCGTTATAACCGTAGTTCGTTATAAGCATATATACAGCATAACTACAGAAAATAGTTGGGATAAAAAAGTAAGTTCGCTTTATCCGTCAGTTCGATATAAGCGTGTTCGTTATAAACGTAGTTTAATGTAGTCTCTTCAGAAACGTTTTAGTTCCTAGTACTTAATGACATCTCTGAGAGAAAAGACAATTTTTAGAAGCTAAATTCATTTTTAAAACTCCACCTGGAAGAAATACCACTCAGTGTAGACATGTCTGATGCTGACCTTCCAATCGGAAAATTCATCACGCAAACATGTAATCAAGACGACAGTCAACATTCCTCAGTCATCGTACATTGATCTAATTTCTTGATTTTAGGAACAATCTAACTTGAGACAGTTAAACAATACGTTACTTATCTCCTACATGTTTTTTTGTCTGCCTTTCAATATAGTGTGTTTCATTTTTATTGCTTAGTGTTTTGCGGATTCTAAAACAAAACACAGGCTTGTCCAAATAAAGATGAAAATGTCACATATTGATTTCTTTAAAGTCGGCCCCTGGTGCGTCATATACCAAATAAGGAAAGAAACGTCATATAGTTCTCATAAAGTGTTTGAGTTATGTCTATGTTGTATTACTGATAAAAAACAACATACTGCTCACAATGGTACTGTTGGGAATTGTTTGGTCGGCGGATACATAAATATACATAAATATAATCTGAATAAATCCCGCCTCGGCGTGTGGACGACAGCTGCTGGAAAGGGTTAGTGGTACCTACTCTCCTCCTCCTGCACGCCTAACGTTAGACTTGAGAAGTCCCTGTCATGTAAAAATTAAATTGACTAAATGTCTGTTAGTTCGTGGGCTTACTCGGAATACACAATCAGATATTGTTGCTATCGAGTATACATGTATATAGACTGAAGAGGCTTCTGGTCTATTTTAACAAAATGTATATATGATGAAATAATAACTGAAACCGAAACGGTTTCAAAATCTATGAAAAGAAATAGAGTTTTAATGCATATATTTTAGTAATCAATATAAGAATAAATAAAATAAACCCAGGGATTTTAACATTATTTCATATATTTTAAAAAAGGTCCAGTTCAACTTCATCTTCCAAATTTTCTCTGTATGATCAACTTAATTTCTTCATGACCTTCCAGTAGACAAACCCGAATCCTAATCACTATTATAATGTTTGTAATTCGGGGACAGGGTTGGCCCAGCTGTCTAGGGTGTAGACTAACATCTAGTCTCTGAAATGAACACATCTTACATTAA